AAATTAAAAAAAGTGTAACTTAAGAAGTTATCAGTGTCACTTTTTCAATATTCGGTTAAAAAATTACACTGATTTCTTTTTATAAATGTCCCTCTAAACACCTGTATTTTAATTTAATTCTTCTTAAACGCTCAAAATAATAATCGACAAATTAGACAAATTCAAATTTAAAAAGTATTTTGTCAGCTAATAATACGTTCCTTAGGAATTGATCAAATTTTCAAAACTTATAAATAAGCATTAAGTATATATATTTTAAATTTTGCTAATTACCAAATTTTTCATTTCTTATTCTTATATCGGTTGATTTTTAGAAGAGAATCACAATGCCGATTAAAATTAATATATATTTATCCATCTTTTTTTTCAAAATTAATTTTACTACTTTAAGTGCCCCATTATTTTTTTCAAAACTAAAAGTAAGTGATCCCTTATGATCGTTTGTCATAAATTATCAAAGACGAGTAGAGAATTTACCCCTGGGAAGCAGAGCTTTTATAATCTGTTTATTAGACAGAGAAGAAAAGAGAAGAAAACAAACGTTTCATTGTGAAGGTAATCCTATTGTTTCCATAAAAACGTTACAAAAAGTGTAAAACGTACAGATGTATTCGGTGTTTTTACAAAAGCGTTTTTCAGGTTTTATTTAATTTAATAAATGGTGTTTCTTAATACTTTGGCAAGGAAAATCAAACTCGATCGAGAGATTTGCTGATGTTTTTGCGGTCTGTAATAACCTTCAACCTGCGGGTATAATTAACCGTATCGTTCAACTTTCAAAAATAAACTAACAGTTGCTATAAATCGCGATCGCACGATGTACGTGTAATAAGGACCAAATTCTCAGTTCTTTGAAGTTAGTGTTTTAAGTATTGTCAATGCATTGGTAAATACTATTAATAAGAATTCGATATAATCGTTATAAAATTACCTTGCATGAACACCGGTTCAGCGCAGACTTCTATGGTAGCTTTCATTTCATTGGTGATGAGGCAGTGATACCTTGACGTGGGACAAACAGAGTCACATTTCTTACGTATAGCTGCCACATTCCACTCTGCCTCAGAACGAGGGCAATCCGGAACAATAGTAATTGTTTGTTGTAAATCAGTACACGAAAAACCAGAACTAAATACCTAATAATGGAATTGGTACGTCAACAAATGTAAACAACATACCATTATGTAAAAAAACTCATATTTTAAGCTACTTACCTGACAAAATATGATGATAAAAAGAAACATTGTTATCTTCATTCTAGGACAAGTTGAAATCTAAAAGAAAATTACACTTTACATCGTTAAATATTGAAAAGCCCTTTTTATTTCTCCACCCGTTTTTAAGCTAGTGCTGCATTAGCGGTGATTTTGTACAAGTATTGAACTTTCGTTCTCAAAGAGATGATGGTTAAATGTGTTCTAATATTATCTTGTTAAGGCATGTAAATTAGAATTTTATAACGACAGTGGAATGCTTACAAAATAAATCAAAAATCATTGAATTAACATTATTTAAAAAACAAATCTAGTGCTGAGTTATGATAAGCTAAAGGATCTCTAGCATGTTACCATCGACCTTATCGAAAATCTTGAACGTGTTTATCCTGCATCTTCAAATAAAATAATTTTTAATGCATCAGATCGAGTGTTTTTTATAGGAACATTATCACGTCTCTGTGTTGTAACCATACTGGGACTGGTAGTCCACTGTTTTATAATCATTATTACACTGCATCTTTTCAAGAAGTATCGTTATCAATAACCTTTGTAAATTCATAAATATAACAAGAGATTTACCCTTCCAGGTTAATGTATATTATACAAATCCTAAAGTTTTGAGTCCGAACATTACTTAATCTAAAACATTAAAAATCAACTAGTTAAACTATGTAAATCTATTGGTTTATTATTGAGAGAGTTGGTTGCTTGATTTATGACACTGTTATTTTTCATTGTTTGTTTTAATGTTTCTCACGCATGCTGTATTATATTATTGTACATATTTCATGTATCTATCTGCTCTATACTGTAGTGCAGTTTAAGAGAATAAATTATTGAATTGAATCTTTGGTCAAGCTTTCCTGGGTTCTGGTAGGTCTCTCCACAATTTTCTTTCGTAATTGTTTTCATAGATTTCATTTTTACACTATTTTGTTTTACACTCAGCATGATTTCTGTTATTAATGTTGGAAACAAAAAGATCATAGCAGCACTGCTTTGTTGCCTTAGACTACTAGTTATGTTTTAAAATATATTTGTTATAACGTAATATACTAAGAATGCTAAAAATAACCCCCTATTTTAAATTGATATTTACATTTACTATGAGTGATAATTTCATCAATTTGAAATGTCCCCAATGTGTTGATTATTATTAATTTCATATAAAATGCATAAAAACAACGATTACTTACTTGCAGATTTCATAATTACAACAACAAAGAACAAGGAAACCGAAAGTAGATATCCAGGTAATTCCCTGATTACCTGCATAATATATCTATTTTAAATAGCACATGCGGAATGAATTGCACGAGTGAAGAAAAATATTTCCTTATCTTTATGTCCTTACATTTAAAATTCATACACATGAAGCATTTTTGTCTGTCTGTCTGTCGATTAACTTTCTATCCACAAAACTTCAATGACTTTTAATTGCTAGGAGCTAATTTAGCTTTCATATTTTGCATGTATATTCCATTTGAAACTTAGGATCTCCCATGACTAGTGACTTGATTGTTTTTTTAGGCAACGAGTTGTGTGGGTTTTTTTTAAAATCGTAGTGCTTTAGAGAGGAGATAAAAACACACAATAAGTTAGAAAAACATCATATTCCACCAAAAATTATTGAAATTATGTTCTATACACTTTTTTTTATATATATGACTTAACATTAGTTAACTTAATTACTTTCATTATCTCCATATATTTCATGCAAAACCTATACAAGTGAAATATTTTCACACAACGTTATTTAGGGGAAAAAAAACCTTTCAATAAGTCAAAGATTAACTGTGTTTTTTTTTCATACTAACTATTTACAAATTTACACACTGTATTGCCAATTTTATGTAGATCTTCTCTCCGTAATTATAAAAATGACTATGTTGGGACTAGTCAGCATTCTCACCTTTCCATGGCACCTGATCCTAACTCTGATGTTCTTGGAGATTTCAGTTTGCTCTACCTCCAATATGCATTGTTTTAAGGGTAGTTTCCATTGCGCAATATTTCGTGCATCGTAGTAAAATGAAGCGTATTTATTGCTTAAATGCAACTTCTTTTGCTTAATTATTGAAATTAAACAAAATTAAGAAAATATAGGTATTTAAATGTAATTACAATTTGATATAACTGATTTTTTAACCGATTTTGCAATTGATAGGTAGGTTGACGTCGCTGCAGTGTCTTTTTGAGGTTATGATAATCTGAAGCTCTTAAAGAAAGGGGTAATAAAAATATTATTACAGAAAATATAATAAACATACGCTCTTGAAATTTAAAACATAGCCATTTTAGAATATCTCCAATATATTTATTGTGTTTTCTTGTGAATCCATTGTTTACGTCATATTTTGTTGTACTCTATAAAATTGTAAAATTTCCTAATGTTTTTGCATTTTGAGATGCCCCCTCTCTTAACACAAGGGTAGAATTTTGTGTTTCTTACATATATTGTATCATATAGTATTACTCATTAAATATCATAGTTTGAACAAAATGTCTATTGTAGTATTTGTATAATTTGCTTTAAAGTGCTAAAAATTGGCATTTTCCTATATAATCCTACAGTAAATATACCTGTATTTTGAGACGGTCCCTCATAAATACCTGAATGGTCTCCCCAAACTTTGCATGTACACTAGAGTTAATGTAAGTTATACATGGTATGAAAATGAAGAGTTTCGCTATTGTAGTTTTCACACAATAAAACTATAGTCGGTCCCCTTAAATAGACTTTAAGCTTGAATATAATCCTATGAAGTAATTCTTATTTCCAAAATTTTAGAACATTCGTTCATTAGTTTTTTTGTATGATTGAATGTAGCGATAACCGTATCATTTGTGCTGTGCTGTACCAAGCAGACGAAACATCAGGTTTTCTAGTTCTGCTTTATATACTCTCCTTTGTGTGATAGTACCTTTGGTTACTGGTACAATACACATGAAATGTATATGAACACGGATATTTACACATTGTCTGAATTTTTACAGTATGAATAAGTAGTATGAGTTTCTAGAATTACAAACAATATGCTGTACGTTATCCTTCTGATTCATTTCACGGAAAACTCACTATCTGCAACAGAATCAACTTATAAAGTGACGTAAGTACTGATTTATGTTACTTGTAATAAAGTCGAGGAGAACTTCTACAGTGGATTCCCTATACAGTTATGAAATTGTCTCCGATTTTATTGAAAGAAAAGTATAATTTCAAAAGGAAATAGAGTATGTACTGGCTGATTAGCTCATTTCCAAGCAAGAAACTCACGAAAATATATCTTTAAAAACTTCAGACTCAGAGACGATACGTGCTGTATGATTTATAGAGCTGTTTCTTTGCAATATTGGACTCCAAAATATAAGCACTTTGTATAAATAAAATTTCGAATAATGAAGAGCCATGTTCTTGCCATAAAATTGATACTTTGATGGCTTTCTCTAAACCACAGATAATTAGCTGGGGGTTTTAATGCAATGTACATTAACTAGTTAAAAGTTGTATTGATAAAAAAATTGAACACTTTTAATGATCTAGAAAACTTTAATTGTCATTTTTAATTTAAAATTTTAATTCTACTCTGCTTATGCATCGAAGTATTATACAAATTTGAATTAACTCTGCTATAAATATTTTATAGACATGCTCCATCGAAATATAGCTAACGAATTATTTCTTCTGAAAACTGCAGTATTTTCTATTTTCACAATTAATTCCAAGATATGCACACACTTATGCATACTTCAATGCTGAAATACCAATTGTAGATCTCGACATCCATGGACTGAATGCGTTGAAGATAAGATGTGAGATACTTATAATAAAATATGTGTAGGTAAGTAGAGAAGTAGATATATAATGTTTATGTAAGAAATATGATTTTTTTTTTTACAAATTATAACGGTTTACGTGTATAATAAACCAATTAAAATAAAGTACAGTAGAATGGTGTTTTATATATAATCCTTAAGAAACGGTGAGAAACATTTCAATTTGATATATGAATTTAATCGTCCATAGTTTATAGATTTAAAATGATCCTTATGTTCCATTTAAAAAAAAGTGTTGATATCTTTCAAGCATGTCCAGTAGGTTTCTACAGCATAAATTGCTCAAGGACCTGCAGGTATCCAAACTTTGGATATGAATGTCAAAAGGAATGCAGATGCAAGCAGTCACTTTGTGATCATAAAAATTGATGTGCATTCGCCAGGGAAGAAAACAAGACATCAGGTATTCAGGTTTGATTAATAAAATTAAATGGATTCTTTGTAATAACTGTAATTGCTGAAATTTTGACAGACATGCAAATCTTGATTTTCAAATATTTATATTGATAAGGTGTTTTTATTTTATTATATGGAGACAAAAAGGAAATCAAGGATACCTATTCAACTCTCCTTCTGGTGATTGGAGTCTCTACGATTTCAGGTTTCCTGTTTGTTTTCATCCTATTGGCGGTAATTTCTACAGTCAACAGGAAACAATATAATCTTGCAAATCAGAGAAACGAACAATTGAACCATTTACATCCGTCGAGTCGTGCATCTTACGAAAGGGATATTCCTATTCGTATCAATTCAAGCCCTGAAATTGATCCTTGTACGGGCACCTATGAACATATTCATGTTTCCGTGGCGGAAGCCTGAAATATGATTCCATCTTCTCATAAAACGCTTTATAAAGCATGTGTTGAATTTTTAGGAATCGTGCCCTCACAGCATGGTAGACTTTGTATTCATTAACAACACATCGGGTGATGTAGCAGAGGAATGTAGTAAAGGTTTCCTCTTCTTTAACTTGCACTATTTTTCTTTATTCCAAACGTTGATTTAACCGTGTATTATGAGACATTAATGCAACTGTTGGTAAACGTTAAATAAAAAATGATGTTGAAAATTAAAGATGTCAAATAATTTAATCGTGACTTGGTCTTATCTTAATTGTCTAATGTACTATAATATAAAGGGTGTTAAGAAAGTTCTTTCCACATTTTTCTTTTATTTTCAAAAAGAAATCCGATGAGAAAATATTTACAATTTGTGATATTTCATGTTTACAGAGTCCATTCTTGGTACTGATAAGGTTTTAACTGTCTTTTGTTGAATCAATAAGGGGAGGCCAGGAATTAAAACAGATGGTGTCTGTTCAGAAAAATAAGGGATGACGCATATTTGTGACATGAATTAAGCAGACAGGTCAAAACTTCCTTTAAAATATGATGTAAAAATTATCAAATCTGTGGAGAATTCCAAAATGACAAAACTATTCTATTAAAAAGTGACATATCGTTCTCATACCTACGTTCGTCAGCTTTTCTGATGCAAGATGAGCTATGAAGAAACAACAGGAAATTATCCTTTATTTTCACTCAAAATGACCAACATTTCTATCATTCGGGTGCTTCAAAGATGTTATATGTATTTTATGGAAGAAAAATCCTATAAGTTCCTTCTAGAAATGAATTGCTATAAATCTAAAGCGCACTCTTGTGATTTTTTCAGACTTGAAAATTCATCTCTTTAGTTAAGCACTACTTTGAAATTTTTGAAAATATTTTATCCTGGAACGAACTTTCTTAACACCATTTACATCCTAATTGGAAACAAAAGTAACAATATTTGTGGTTCTTTTATAAAAAAGATTTGTGAAAACAAGTTCTTTATCACCTTCAAGATAAAAATAGTCTCTGATTATATTACATTTATTTTTCAATATGAACCAAAAGCTTAATCTAATTTAATTTCATCCTCTTCTTTAAGTTTACTCATAAATCTAATGAAAATTGTTTAAGATTATTAAATGTACCAAAATTTGCATCAGTATCTATGGGATGCCAGGCTTTGCAATCTTCGATCTTTTCCATTTGTATTGTATAGTGTTCCACTTGTATTCAATAATTTCCCATTTGAATTCTATTTATTATTTTTATTCCACATTTTCCATTTGTATTGTAAAAAATATCATCTGAATTGTATAATATATCATATGAGTTCTATATTTTCCTATTGCATTGTATTATATAAATATTGCATGTAGTTGAGTGTAACATTGAAAATTTTTACCCCAAGAAAACCAGTGTCAACCGAGGCGCAGCCGAGGTTAACAATGGTTTTCGAGGGGTGAAAATTTTCAATGTTACACTCAACTACATGCAATATTTATTATATTATACTGAATGTTTTATACAAATACATATAATAGTGAACCGTGCGCGCATAAATTCTGCGCAGTCGCTATTTTTTGGAACGTCACCCGTCGT